TTGTTTCTGAGCAAACAAAAGCAAACTATCTTTTAGCTGAACACAAAGCCTGTGGAAATAGGGTAATAATTTTAGAATCTGAAAAAATAGCACACCAGTACTCAGGTGGTAGCTGTGAATTAGTTATAACAAGCTATTTTAGATTCTAGGCATGAATAAGTTATAACCCATTCACATTCGGGCCTCTCCCACCGGGCCGAGGGGAAGGACCGGCGCCCCGCCACCCTCTCCGAGCGCCCGCAGGGGCCCGACCCGCTGCCCGGCCCTCACAGACGCAGCGGCTCGGCGTTCCCGCACGAGGACCTCTGAGGACTTTTCTGGGGGAGCTTTCTATACGCTCTGGAGTCCTATAGCTTGAGCCATCAAGAGAACGTAGGTTGGCCAGGGGACAAAAGCAGCAATTGCTGAGGTTAAGTGTAAGAGGAGAGTAAAATGATTGCTAGCAGGGAGGGGGTATTTTCTCAGTAGATTCACGGGCTCAGAAAATGTTGAGGGCGAAGAAACCTGCAAAAGCAGCATCCAACCACCCCTTTGTTTCGAGATTAAGAAATCGAGGCCCAAGGAAGATGTGCTTCGCACAGTGAGACAGGCGACAGACACCTGAGGAGTTAGACTGTGTTTGAGGCTAAGTCTGAATCCTATGCCTAACTCACAGGGTGCTTTACGTGATAAATGCAAGCAGGCATGGTGTCTGCCATACAGTAAGTGCTCAATACATGTTAGCTATATTATTTTTATATGAGTATTGGTCAACGGTTCTATAAATATACCTCAAAGTTGTTCACTTAGTCCTACTGGGGTACTTCCTGAGCATCACTAAGTATGGAAATGAACTGGCAAAGAAAGTCCAGTTATTTTCAAAGAGGAAAACATAAAAGCAAACAGAAGCGTCTTCTAGTGGCCTTTATCCTCCATTTTCACTGGAAAGGAGCCATCCGGGGAAGCAGATAAAGAGAGGTAGGCAGAGCAGGGCGCCCTGAGGGACAGTAAAACCTACTTCTTCCTTTGAAACAATCTATAGTACTCTACAAGAGGCTATAAAAAGGTCCAAGGCTAATTAGGCCATCCACTCTCAATCCAAAATACCTGCTTTTAAGAAAAGAACCTTACCATCTCTGAAAATGAATACTGATGTTACTCTGAATTCACAATACCCCGAGGATAAGTAAACTGTTTACGTTGGAGGACCCTACCATTCCTACTTGTACATGTATTTAAGAAATTCAACTAGTAAGTGTTGTGAAGATCCCAAAAAGATAGGGCAGCCAGAAAAAGGATATCATTTCAAGGAGGTTAGGTAATAAGCATTTAACAATGACTCCAGGAATATTTTGGTAAAAAGAGTGGACACCATGACAAAATGAGAACAAAAAATGTTGAAGGCAAAGGTGCAATTATTTTTTAAAGACTTAAAAAGTCTTGCTTATTAATTATTCTTAAAGAATTAGGGTTTTTTTTAAAACCTAATAAAAATGGGTATGGTTAAGAGCTTAGCACGGGAGTCAGAGTCTTGGGTTCCAGTTCTGATTAGCCACATTCAACTGCAACCTAAGTCCTCACCTTTCTCTTCTACAACAAGAGAAATAATCATAGTACCTACAAGACATAGTGACTGGGGGGATAAAATGAGATTTTTCAGATAAAACATTTAGAGTATGTCGCATTATTGTAATAAAGTGGTAGCTGAACTAAATTTGGACTCATCCAAATGTGAGAACTTTGGATGGAGATGTTTTGTGGGGAGCCCTATTCTCTGGGTAGGCAGCAGACATCTTCTTTTAATAGATAAAATAACTTAGATAAGTTTCTAAAAGCTAAAAAGAAAACTCTAGTGGAAACAAACAAAAAAAAGTCTTGTATTTTGCAAGATAACCACCACACAAAATAATCTGAACGTCAATAAGGCATATGGCACATCTAAACTATGCAATAATTAAAAAATAATGTAGAGTTATTGACAAGGGAATATGTCTATGATAGGTTAAGTTAAAAAAAAGTATGCTGAAAGCTATATGCATATCATCACATTTTTGTATATATAAGTAGAGGAAAAATCTAGAAGGATATATTCCAAAGTGTTAAAAAGCATTTATCTCTACATGGTAGATAGACTGTGGGTGATTTTTTTTTCTTTTTTTTTTTTTGACACAGAGTCTCACTTTGTTGTCCAGGCTAGAGTGAGTGCTGTGGCGTCAGCCTAGCTCACAGCAACCTCAAACTCCTGGGCTCAAGCAATCCTCCTGCCTCAGCCTCCCGAATAGCTGGGACTACAGGCATGTGCCACCATGCCCGGCTGATTTTTTCTATATGTATTAGTTGGCCAATTAATTTCTTTCTATTTATAGTAGAGACGGGGTCTCGCTCTTGCTCAGGCTGGTCTCGAACTCCTGACCTCAAGCAATCCACCCACCTCGGCCTCCCAGAGTGCTAGGATTACAGGCATGAGCCACTGCGCCCAGACAGACTGTGGGTGATTTTTAATTCTTGAAAATTGTACTGGTATGACCTAAAGCTTCTTTAATGATGAACACATATTACTTTATAGATAGAAAAAATTATAAAGCTTTTCTTGTAACAAAAATAATCACTAGGCCGGGCGGGTGGCTACGCCTGTAATCCTAGCTCTCTGGGAGGAAACGAGGCGGGCGAGTTGCTCAAGGTCAGGAGTTCAAAACCAGCTGGAGCAAGAGCGAGACCCCATCTCTACTATAAATGAAAGAAACTAATTTGGCCAACTGATATATATATATAAAAATTAGCCGGGCATGGTGGCCGCATGCCCTGTAGTAAACAAAAACAGCTACCTCGGGAGGCTGAGACAGAAGGATCGCTCGAGCCCAGGAGTTTGAGGTTGCTGTGAGCTAGGCTGACACACGGCAACTCACTCTATGCCTGGGCAACAGCAAGACTCTTCTCAAAAAAAAAAAAAAAAAAAATAATCACTAATTATCCACTAACAAAGTAGCATCATATGTTTTAATAATATTATCCCAAGGTTATCATGGATTGCCAGAATTGTGATTCGTTTACAGGCACGAAGAAGAATTAATGGGAGTGCAGTTTTTACAAAAGCACCAATTTAGTGTCCCCAAGATATGTAGAAAATGACAATGATGAACTCTTAGGTACCTCCCCCCCTATGCATTATACATTCCCCCTCTGACATTATCCATCATAAAATACAAGGCCCATCAATAATTCTTTAGACACTGACAGCCATTTCTTTCTGAAAGAACGTACAGCCCAACATTAAAGTTATAATAGATGTGATTAGAGAGATTGGCAATTAGACGTGGAAATAGGATCCGCGTCCTGTCTGGGAAGTCTGCAGTCACCAGAGGCCTACATGATGGATTTATTAACCGGGTTTCTACACACTCTGATTATCTCATACTGGAGGAGTTTCTATTTGGCTTCTATTTAAAAACCACGTCATGTGTCTGTACACTGATAAGGCCTCGGCCCTTCTGTGTGAAAATGTCTCAAGAAAGCAAGTCAGTATTCCAGTTTGCTTAAGGGTGTCTCTAAGTGGGCTGTGCAGGCCAAGGCAGGCAAATGCATGAGCTCCCACAGTCTCCCACGGTGACTTCTGGGAGTGCTCTGGGCCTCATGGAAGACTGGATTACTAATAGCCAGGATGCTGGCACCCTGTGGAAGACCCTACCCCAGGAGGTGGGGCCACCAGCACCCTACCTCCTGACCCTTAGAACCAGGAGTGGTTGTTACTCAGGCATGGGCATGTGCCTGCAGAGCCAGCTCAGCACTTTCTATTTCAAAGAGAGCCTCAGAGAGAAGTTGCTTCTACAAGGAGGTAGTGGCCAAGTGCCAGGTGGGGCTGTGGTGGCACTGCTCTGCCTGCATCCTCCTGCCCTTTCTGGGCAGCCCCCATCATGGCCGCCCTTTGGTGTTCACTCAAATAGCCTTGTTTCAGGAGCTAGAGCTGGAAACATTTGCAACTTAATAGAAATGTCATTTGGGAACTTCTAACAAGCTTGTCATTTACGAAAATGATCCTGAGCCAACAATTTAAGGACATAAATATCTCACAACTTACCAAATAGTAGTGATATTTTCTTTTAACGGAAAGGAAAATAAGCAGTTCCTGTTTAATTAGTGTTTCTATTTCCAAGTCTGATTGTGATGACTATAGATTTTAATTGTCTACTGGTTGATAACTAAAAGATACAGCGACCCCAAATGCCAAACTGTCTTTTCACACTAATGAAACAGGAGATATTTCTTAAATCTTAGTGCATGATTATCAAAATCTAAACTGCGGTTCCTAGGCCAAGAAGATATGTTCACTTGCTTTAAAAATCTCTCTCTGTATCTGTCAAACAGCCGAACCATTTCAGCTGACTTAACTGAAATGGCTTCTTTTATCCATTTTGTGGGTCTGCCTAATTATGGTATAGGTTTTAAAGAAAGTAAGTTATTCATGGACTGAAACTCTATATACTTTAATTTAGCCATACCTTTCCTTTATTACTCACAAAAAGTAAAAGAGGCAATTGTTTCATTAGCTATAATAAAACAGATTTTGCTAAACTGGGCCTCTGAGAAGATGACTGTCACTTATAGAGAGAAGAGACGTTATCCTTGTGGTATGGTAGAAAGAGCTCTGCCTGGTCCCAGCCATGTCATCTTAGACAGCATAAGAATTTGGCTATGGGATCAAGCAAAAATAAGTCAACTCCTCTGACCTGTCTACAAAATGGGCCCATGCTGATTACTTCACAAGAGTTTAAACAGGCAGGACATTAGCGATCTTTAACATTACTAAAATAGTCCAACAACAGTCAATTCAGTAAGCCAAGTCACCATGACAAGACATTTACTCATTACATACCTTCTGGTGACCAATAATAAAATATTTATTCTTACGGGACATTTATTTCTTTGGGTTAACATAGCTGAAGTACCTTTTTAAAAGTATCTTTTTTTTAAAAAAGTAGTATCTTTTTAAAAGAAGAAAAACAATTTTTTAAGACAGCGCTTACCATTTCCCTAGGTCTTCATGTCCTAGAACCTGTTTTTGATGGTTTCAACATGTCCATTTATGCCTGCCTGACCCTTGCCTTTCCATCTAGCGATCCGCCAGCCCCAACATGGATGTTCAGTTCTTTAAAAGTTTCCTTTCCGTGAGCTTCCTGTGTGTGTGGAGTAAGGGAGGCACATTTACTGAAGACATTTCAGGCTGGCTCCCATAAAGTTCTTTCCACTCACAATCATTCTTTATGTCGTCAGGGAACGAGAGAACCCCCAGAATCATATGTTCTAGTTCCTTGGTAGGTCACGCATTAAGTTCCAGGAAAACAGCAGCACTCCCTGTAAGACATCTATCCATGAAGAACGTCTGCCCTTGAAAAAACACCAGCAACGCCAAGGTCCAGACGGAGCCGTCAGTGTGAGAATGACGCCAGGTAAACAGGTTCTGTGTGTGTTATTTTAAGGCTTGTCTTTGCAACCAATCTGGATCATCTTAGATCAATGAGCCATTAGTATATTAACCCAGGAGACATAAATGAAAACCAGTAAAGGAGAGTAAAATGGGAGAATGGGAGGCAGGACAACCGTATTTCACGGATGACATGTCACCAGTGGGAGGAGAGCAGGAGAAATTGGGGAACGGAAAGCACTCATTAGGATTTTTCAAAGAATGGGATGCCATCCAGTACTTTCTTATTCTAACTGCCCTTTATCTTATTAAAGGTCACTATTTTTCATTTGCACTTTTGTCACTTTTTCCATTTGTACAAGTGTCTTTGTTTTCTTCTTATATTTGCCCTCGTGCTCCCACAATGGGATTAATTATAATCCTTGCTTTGTGACACACTCCTTCAGGGCCCACTTTTATTTAGATACTTTTATTAATAAGCACCCAATGTAGCCACATTTTTGGAACTCAGAAATTTTGGTTCAGAGTGACCATATTTCCCATCTGGAGTATAAAATTCTGAGGTCGATGTTTCAGCTGCTTCTAGTTGCTCCAACTATGATGACGCCCTATTGGTCAGGCAGGAGCCTGGGCGGTTCCTATTTCCTCCTAGTTTGTGGAGCATGCAGGATGGTCACCTTAGGTCACACGGCACAGCCACTGTCCTCACCGCTCAAGGGAGAGCAGGGAGCAGCTTCAATGCCAGCGACGCAGGTGCCGCGCACGCCCTCAAGGCCTTCCCGCTGGCCTGCCCTGTCTCTCGAGGCTGTGGCTGCTGCACTTCCAAGTGTGGCAACAGCGGTTGTTTTGGACAATTCTGTCCTGACACAGCCTTTGAGTCAGAAGATACTCAAAAAAGGCATGTTTTAATCATGAAAAGCTGAAAATCATTAGTAAAAGCAGTGACTTATGGCTGTTATTTACCAGGTGTCCTTGTGCCAGGTGCACAGTAATCACTTGATTCGTGAAGATAGGTATGGTTATACCCATTTTTTAAAGAACTGAGGCTCAGAGGAGTAAAGACACTCACCTAAACCTACAAGCACTAACAAGTGCCTGGGTTAAATGCAAATCCATTTCCAAAGGCTGCCACCTTCTTGGCCACGTGCCTCCAATCAAAACTTGCAGCGTTTGGAACCTGAAGTGTTCTCCAATCAAAACTTGCAGCGTTTGGAACCTGAAGTTCCCACGCAGCTCTGGCAGGTAAGGATGAGCTGCCTTCCCAAAAGCATGCATATAAACTAGCTGTCCTTCCCTCTACCATATCCTCATGCCAGTAAGGGAAATTTTCCAAGCTCTCTCATGCTTACCAACACAAAACACAGTCTAGTACCTACTGAGGGGCATGGATTGAGTGGGATCGCTAATTTTCACCAACTGTAGCAAACCCTTTTTTAAAGGGCCAGGTCCAGTTATTAGAGACATTCCTTATTCTAGGTGCTGGGGATATATATAGCAGGGAACAAGACAGAAAAGTGCTTTTTCTTTTAAGAGTTTGGAGTTTCTTTTAAGAGAGAAATGGTCAGTTCCGGTGTTTTCTGTGCATTCGATGTTCGGTCCAAGGGTGGCCATTTAAGGGTGCAGTGGCAATACTGCTGCTGATGATGACAGTAGCTGCCACCTGTCCAGTGTTCACTGGGTGCCAGGTCCTGCACTGAGGCTTCCTGGCCATATCTCCTTGGACCTTCACATGCTCTGTGAGACAGGGACCTTTTGTCCCCAACTTGTGGTGAAATTGAGGCACACAGCGCTTAGATAATTTGCCTTATTGAGGATTACACATAAACTTGGTATTTTCCTGGCACTTTGTGGATCCCTCTTTCCATTTCAAGGAGAGAGAAACTGTGCTATCATAGGCCTACATATTTTTTTTTGGTCAGAAAAGAGTTGATTATTTACTCAGAAATTCTTTTAGCTGAATCTTAAAGCGCTCAATGACAAGATTCTACTAAGGGGTAAGGTTCTCCATCGGTTGTAGTTCGGGTGAAAGTGGACGGTACAGATGGGATACACTCAATCCATGAGCTGCTACAGTGACATAACAGGGCAGAGATTAACCCCAGGCTCTGAATCCAGACTGCCGTGGTTTGAATCCTAGCTCTGCCACTTACTAACTAAACCACCTTGGGCAAATTAAATGTAACTCCCTGTGCCTCACTTTCCTTATCCACAAAATGGGAAATTAGTACCTGCCTCATTCGGTGTTGTGAAGACTGAGTTTAATCTAAAGAGGGGCTATCCGATAGAACTTTCTGTGATGGTGGAAATACTCTATTCTCCGTGGTCCAATAACATAGCCACAAGCCATGTGTACCTATTGAACACTTGAAATCTATGTGGCTCATGTGCCTGAGACACTGAGTTTTTCATTTTATTTATTTTTATTTGGATTAATTAGAATTTAACTATCCCCATGTGGCTGGTGTCTACCATATTGGCAGTACAGATCTAAAGCATTTAGAACCATGCCTAGAACTGTGTGTTTGCTATTGTCATTACTCCAATATGGAGAGTCACACAAACAGGTTTCATTTGCTCTCAGATAAACCATCACAGAATCTGCTGTGGCCTGTTTTCATTTTGCACTGCAGATCATAACGTAACAATTTTAACGTCCATTATCATCATACTAGGCCACTTTATGTCTTCATAGCATGTATCACTATCTAAAACTAGGTCATTTATCTTTCTTACCTTACTTGCATGTAAACTCTTAAAAGAAAAAGCACTATTCTGTCTTGTTCCCTGCTATATATATCCCCAGCACCTAGAATAAGGAATGTCTCTAATAACTGGACCTGGCCCTTTAAAAAAGGGTTTGCTACAGTCGGTGAAAATTAGCGATCCCACTCAATCCATGCCCCTCAGTAGGTACTAGACTGTGTTTTGTGTTGGTAAGCATGAGAGAGCTTGGAAAATTTCCCTTACTGGCATGAGGATATGGTAGAGGGAAGGACAGCTAGTTTATATGCATGTTTTTGGGGCACTGGAGTTAGTGAGAAAGCTCTCAAATAAAAAGACTAAAAAATTATCAAGCCATACAAGAGTTAAAGTTTCTTTTCTGTGGGAAGGAAACTATGGCCTCGTTTAGGACCTTTTGCAGGTATCTTATCTGGTGTAGCTTACTGACCCCTGGAAAACGTACTTCTGTTAATGAGCCAACCATGTAAACTGTTGGTGCTGACATCCTAGTACAGCATCAGCCCTGAGACGTAGCCCTGCCACGGGTAAACTGAGGGCTCAGGTCATGTTTTATGAACTTTTCGGTGGCACTCAGAAGCTCAGAAACTCAGAAAATGCTCGTGCTGAGCTTTGATGACGCTCAAAGTGTCACAGACCATTTCCTTGGTCTGTGAAAGATTGAGAAAAATGAGGAGTTTCCCATAGAGCAAACTTTGCTTGACTCAAAGGAAAATTATTTTCATTTTAGAGTTGCCAAATTAAAGAATGCACTGTTCCATGAATTGCGAAGCCTGGGAAGCAGGTGAATCACCAGGAGCTTAATATCATAATTGATTTTGTTTTTTTAATTTGCTTTTTGAAGTTTACAAGGCTTGTTGTTATACAACAGGCTGGGCAATCACTCCTCCCGTTAAATATGCATCTAGAGGCCGAAGATCAAGCCAGCATATGTTTCTAAAGTGCTCACTGTGTACTTAGTTCTATGCTTACAATTTATTTGGGGATATGAGACTCAGCCTCTAAAGTACAAAGAAAACAATGTATAATTAAATCCTCATGAGATATACGCCAAGGACAGGAGCCGGGGGAAGGCCGTCTGTGAGGCCTGCCCATCACTGTGCCCGCAGCTACTTCCCTGCCTGTCTCCTGCACCAGGCTGGGTAAATCCCTGCACGGCAGGGCCAGGTCTAATCATGACAGCATTCCTGGTACCTTACACGTTGCCAGGCACATGGAAGGTGCCTAGTGAATCTTGAGTGAATAAGGACTGGAATGACAAAGGTTTTATTCAGAAGAGGTTAGAACTAAGCTGAGACTTAAAGGATGGGCAGTTTGCATAGGAGGAAGCATTTCTGGTGAGGTAAATATGAATGAACTTTTAGAAGTAGCAGTGGGACCATTAAGCTACCTGACACGGAAAGAACATTCTGGGGAGTGGTGGAAAACAAGGTTTGATAGAAAAGCTAGTGTCAGGATTTAAATTGCATATTGAAAGCTACTCAGAAAAGTTGAGATGGAAAAGATTAGAAATGGGGAAAAGCTGAGTTTTTACCCAAAACAGGCAAAATTCCTACTGAAGGGAACTTAGTCTGACAGGGAAGATACAGGACGAAGGAGAAGGTACCTGCAGAAGCGGCACAGCCTTCATCTCGAGGGAGAGAGCGTCAGCACAGAACCACCTTTCACTGAGACACGCCACAGGTTATAAACACGCTAAGGAGTAGGTATTATTATCATTCTGCACATCAGCAAACAAGCTTAGAGGGGTTCAATGCCTTCCTTGAAGTCACAGCTTATAGTAGGTAGGGCTGGGACCATCCCAAGCCAGTGTGACCCCGAGGCCCGTGCTCTTAACTATACACCACATTGCTGTTCCTTAATCAAGATGAGACGTTGGAACCCACTAAGATGTACAAGTGCAAATTCTGCAAAGATAGGACATTGTTCATCCCACATTCCAGTTGTTAAAAGTTCTCTTCTGCCCCTTTCTTTCTCTGTCTTAAGTTGTGAGTTGCTCAGGTCTACTCTTGTGCTTAGTGCTAACAGCATTCCAAGTGCTTATTCTTGAGAATTCTGCGTGTGTAAAAAACCCTCAGAATAAGAGAAAAAATGTTTCTTCTCTCCTAAAGCTGCAGAAAAGCAGACCCTATTCTTGGTTAAGAAGCTAGTTCTGTTAAAGAACTACAAGCATACTCTGCTACTCAGTGTGGAAATGAGTATAAAAATATACAATTTTTTTCTGTTATTACCACATATTTTAAGACATCTGGGCTTTAGAGATTGTTGCCAAATCCTTTAAAATATAACCTTTAACGTCTAGAAGTTTGCTTTTTAAATTGGTTGCCTTACTTGATAATTTATTGTCTTAATAATATAATATGATGCGACATCTTTTTGAAGATACATAAACTTTTAGGGTTTTCTGGTTAGCTGGAAGGGCTTGGAATTTCTCCATACAGAAGACTAAAACAAATGTCGATGCTGATAAATTCTTTACTCAAATGTAGTTTGAGTCTGCCTGTTTAAATCAACGATTGGTGCAATGATTTACTCGGCTGACCAGAACGGGGAGTAAGGAGAGAGAGTAAGATGGTGATTGTGCCGAGACAAACGCA